TGACTCACCACCCACCTCCTCCACTCCCGCCATCCGCTTCACTACCCACCACACTCGCTCTACCACCTCCGCCCATTGGTGAGTACCAATACAAACTTAGTACTGTAGTTATGTGTGTGTGTGTGTGTGTGTGTGTATGTATGTATGTATGTATGTATATGTATATATATATATATATATATATATATATATATATATATATATATATATATATATATATATATATATATATATATATATATATATATATATATATATATATATATATATATATATATATGCACTATTTCTATAGAAATGGCAATGATTTTCTGTATATGTAATGTATTTCATGGGGCAAAGGGAGGCTCAGGAACGTAACTCCCATATTTTTATCCATTTCTTATGGGGAAAATTGATCCGCTTCATGTAATTTTGTATAACATCGCACTTTTAGGAACGTAACCCAGACGTTAAGCGAGAATTTACTGTACAGTACAAAATTTTCATTTGAAACACAGTATATATTTAAAGTTTAAATTACTGTAATGTATGCTGGTGAAATCCTGTCCATAAAGATTAGAAAAAATTAATGATGCCGAGCCAATCTAGATCTTAGACACTATTTTTTAGACCAGACAATTGAACCAATTAAACCAAACCTTACCTAATATCTACAGAACTAAGCCTAGGCACACCACTAATGACAATATACAGTACTGTACACCAGTATGCATAATATACCAACCAAACCAACTCTACAATCTTGCATTGAATTGAAACAGTTTATTTAGCCAGAAAAACACAGATACAGAGTGGATAATAATAACAATATTAACATGGTTGAGCCAGTTCAGAACCTGTGCTCTCTTTGAGGCACCTGATATATACTATACATTTATCTCAAGGAAGTATTATGTAACATTTAGTATCATCTGGAATAGTACAATAGCATGGTAGTAATAAGTACATTTTGGATGGGTTTGATGTGGTTGGTTCCTTTTGTCCGTAAACATTAATGGTGCAACCAGAAATTAGGCAATATACAGCCCTTGTCAAAAATTCTTCTAAGATTAGCTATTAGGTTAGGTTTAGTTGGTTCACAGTGTTTTCATAAAAAGTTTAAGCACAAATTTTCTGCCAACTCCCAATACAGCTACCAATACTAAAATTTAGTGGAAACTATACCATAGTACTGTACTATTACTACTAGGGGTTTAAGTCAACAAGCAATTATAGTCAAACTTTTTATTAAAGATAACTTACTTCTTTCTTAAGAGCTTGTTAAATAAAAAAAAATGTGGAGGAATTTCAATTCTCGTAACTATTTCACTGACTTTCTTCATTCTAAACACTACTCTACATGAGTATGCTACCTCCCAGCAAGGTCAAGTTGACTTCAGTACAGTATTTACACAAGCATGAAATGTTTTATAAACAGGAACACCCGAATACTTCCTAGCGACTGTTCCATACCTATGAACATTTCCAGTGGCTGTTACATTATATGCTCTAGAGTTATAACCAAATAAACATAAATGACCTGAAGAATCTCCACCCCAGCTTATTTTACCAAAGCATTAACCACCTCTACACGGACTTAACCTCAACCCCCTCCAAATAATGTTAGGGTTTTTAATCTTTAGCCGAAATAAGCTGGGGTGGAAATTCTTCAAGTGATCATATTTACTTTCTTCCTCCTCATTCCCCCAATGTTGATCTAAATAAAAAAAAATATATACAATACTGTAATAAATATATACTGTACAGTATATACTGTACAGTATATACAATACAGTACTAGAAATATTAAGTGGCTGTCATCCTTGTAAACCAGAAACCCTTAAGGCAGCTCTATCAGGTATTTGTTTACACTGTTGTGCACCTGCACCAGCAACTTGAGTACTTATCACTGTTGAAGAGAAATGCATTCTAACAGCACGAAAAGGGCAAAAAGTAGACAAGGAAAAATTATCATTACAATCTATGGCAGAGAGCACTGATCTAAGATGCTGTCATGGCTCCTTTATTTATGTCCCAGGCTATGGTTTAACAGCTCCCTCCCTCCCACATGATTTTTTCCTTTTGATGATAATTATTTAAGGTTGGGTCAATTCATTTTATGAACAATAAATTACCAGAATATAATGTAGCTAACAGCAGCTTGACAACTGCTACTTTCTACCAACACCCCAATAATGTAAGAACAGAAAATACTAACCTAACAAAATAATTATCTTTAAAGAATTCCTGTTTTTATCTTCTTTACTGTACAGTATATATTAAAGAAAACATAAGAATGGGGGAAACTGCAGCAGGTCTATTGGCCCATACTAGGCAGCCCTGTTTACATCCAACCCACATTGCTCATACTGTATATCTGTTCTAATCATCCACTACTCAGTGTTTACCTATCACATACCTAAATCTAAATATGTATAATATAACACCTTTGCTATGTGTTCACTCCTGGTTAGATAGTTTAAGTGCCATACATTTGTTTAGCCCTGACTTCCACTTATAAATCTCGATCATATCACCCCTCACTCTACATCTTGAGGGAGTGGAAATTCAGATGTTTTAATCTGTACAGTATCCACTATATAAATAAAAATCCCGGAGGCATCCCTGTGGAATATATACGTACCAAAACGGTGCCGTATGCTGCAGCTGTGTTCAGGAAGGAAAAAAATTTAAAGTACTACAAGAAATGTTTTTCATCATCCACTTTTCAATTTTTTCATGAACAAAGAAAGTATTATCCTTTATGGTGAAAAGACCCCAAGTCGATGGTTCAGACACAAGAGGTGTAAACAAAAACCCAGTAGTTTAAGTGCAATATATACTGTGATAAACCTACAGGCCCATGTAGCAGCTTCTATTTGTGCTTAAGTTACTGTACAGTACTGGGTAACTAGCTCAGCTCACCAACAACTACAGCCTTATCATTGTTTACCCATATCCTTCCTAAATCCATACAGTAGTTCTCCAAGTAATAGTGAAGGGTACAGCTAACACCTAAAGAACTTTATATAATTCATTCATATTTTCCACAGGTGTCATTTGGATGATAATAAAAACGATATGAACACTTCCCTAAACCTTTGTTTGTTTTCATAGTGGATATGGGTACAACAGCCATACTGATGGACTGTATTAAGGCTTACGTTGGTTAAATTACGTTAGGTTAGTCAGAAAGAAGACCATATAAGTAACTATCATTGTATACCCTGCCCACCACTCATGGGCATTAGGGTTCTGTACCAATAAGCATCGATGTTTTGCATACAGCTGTCGTACCTATATTGTGCCTTTTTTTTTCTCTATATAACATTTATTTTATTCCCATCTTCCATTTCAGCAGTTAATCATTTCAATTCTGGCTCTCTTTCAAATGGATGCAAATTCAGTTCTCAATCTATCTCTGTAAGGAGGAATAACCAGGATTAACAATGCCATCCACCCTAATGTTTTGAATAAACTCTACAACCACTATAAGACAGTAACCAAAACTTAACAGGATAATCCCAATGAGGTTTCCCCAATACTGTACCGGATAAAATGGTAAAACATCTGCACCTGTCAGTACTGCAACACCCACAGGTACTCAAGACCAACACTGTTAAGAGGTCGGTGACTCAGACATCTGGTAATAGTACTACACTTATACGACTCAAGTTGATTAACCATGAACACTTTACTTTGATCTTTAATCTCTACTAGTCACTACTCCATCTCATTAAAATTTATGTTTGAAAAGTTATTGCAGACAGCTAATTCCATAATTTTCTGTTCTCAGTCTTATAACATTACACTTCTCTCCCATTAATTAAAATGTTTTTATTTCTATTTCTCACTTCACATTACAAGCTTAATTAAGTCTTCCTAAGAGTGATATGTACTGTTAGTTTTTTTTTTTTAATTAATCCACCTAAAATGCCAGAATGTGATGGTAAACAACATATCTTCCAAGCTTGGCCCCCTCTTCACCTTTATTAAACTCGTACATACCGTATACGCTCAAAATAAATTTGCCTAAAAATGTTACTGAATTCCCTACAAACTTGCCATATAATCAATGACACACCCACATGACACACCTTATCTAAGTGCCCTCCTCCCTGGCCTCTACCCCACACAAACCACAACGACCACTATAGTTGAGATAATGCAGTTCTACCATTACAGCCATATTCCGGAGATGGTGAAGTTTAAATTTGTATTCAATATCTACTGCTAGGATGCTGTCCTGTGACCAAAACCTTATATTATAAATTTCAAACTCCGTATCTTACACTAACAAATTCCAAACAAAATAAAACAGGTGAGGTTGAATCTAATTTGTTTTTATTATCAAATTTTATTTTAGATGTTACGGTGCTCAACTGGCCCTGAAAACAGTGGTGTACAGTGTCTCCCTCTACCGCTCAGCCACCACACTGCACATATAACAAAAGACGTCAACTTTACCTAACAGCAACAAACGTGCTGTACCATGAAATACCTTACAATCCCCGTAAAAAAAACACTACACAACCACCAACAACACCTACACTAAATAAAATGTTGAAAACTACCAAAACTGGACCATTAACCTTGGCTAACATGTACTGCTGATTTCTCCGGCAAAGTTTCTTAAGCCTTCCCAACTTAACACCATCTTCACGCTCAGAGTACAAGTCATGGGGCCACTTTGTACATTAACCCCACCGTTTTTAAAGAGTAGGTGTTAGCCACAAGACTTTCTGAAGAGATACTTTCACCTTCACACCTCCAGCTGACGACCTGTCGAAAATGGGCGGCCACCAGTTCATTGCACCTTCATTTCCCAATTTTTTTGGTTTAAATGCGCATTTAAAGACTATACAGAGGTATAATATACACGCCATGCATATTATTAACCTAAGGAGCATTAACAACGGCTATCTAGAAGACAACTAGCACAAACAACCGGGATGCGTACAATTTGCAAGAGTAAAATATCGGTGTACAAAATCGGACAAGAAAACTCTCCTCCTTACCTTCTAATAATCTGGCGATGATGCTGTCTATATTAAGCTTATCGGTCTCAGCCATGTTATTTAGTTTACACAGTTCACTTTCAATATATTCACACAATCAGATCGCGCACAGAACGGCAGATGATCACGGATTGAGAAGCACAGTACCTCCAGCCCAACCCCATAGACTGTTCAAGATGGCAGCCGTAACCGACGTCACCACTTCAAATGACCGGACAACGTTCCAGTAATACGCGACCATCAAACTCTCTTAAAACATAATAAATATCCATTTTACCTTATCAAATCACTTCATTATTGTATATAATGCTATATTTTAAACATATAAAAAAAATATTTAATTAAATTCAATGTGTTTTGGAATAAATAAAGCAAAAGGATTATAAATATATATATATGTACCACCAGGTAGATAATGACGTCATGCGCGCGCAGTTGACAACAATGTCCGCGGGAAGAATGAACCCCGCTGATCTAATCAAAACATTTATTTAAACAATATAAAACACACGTGTAAAGTTTAATTTATCAAGGAAACTATTGGGTCATGATATTATAATCTCAATTCAATACTGAATATTCATGGTTTTATTTCAGCTAAATGTTTCATGGCGTAGAAATATACGCTATTTTTTTAGTTTAGTGAAGTTGTAAGAAATTCTACGCCACGCAATCGGATATTATTACTCACATAGAGGATTTAATAATTTGTATTTAATATTTCCATAATAATACATATTTCTTTCCGTAGCTCTCCACTTTCAGCAGTCACCTTGGCATCACTCACCTGTAGTTGTTTATCTCTCTTGGCACAACACAGCCGCCGCCCACCACAAACAGTAGATGTTTCTTATCCTTATTGATCATGCCATTGGTGTTGGAAGTAGTGAATACTTAGAAAACGTGCAAAATTATTGTCTGAGTTTGTGTGCGTGTATATATATATATATATATATATATATATATATATATATATATATATATATATATATATATATATATATATATATATATATATATATATATGTGTGTGTGTGTGTGTGTGTGTGTGTGTGCTGATAACCACAAGGAAAGAAGAAAACACGAAGTTCCCAAGCGCTTTCGTGTATTTCACATCTTCAGGGGTGAGTACAGACTAAGGAGAAGTACAAAACAAGGTGTGTATATACAGAGGAGGGTGAGATCAGGTCCACAATGAAGCCACCTGTATTGTTGCGGGAGTTCTTGATTAACATTTGTTTAACAGTGCATGAGTTTTTAAATGTCACATTGACGTTCCAGGTTTTTAGTTGTAAAGGAATTTGAGAGAAATTTTTGTGAAATGGCAATACTAAGAGATTCTTATGGCTATGGGTGGGCTTGGGATCGGTTCTATAGAAGGATTTCTTAGTAATGTTAAGGCATTTGTCTATGAAAAATCTAGGGTACTTAAGGTTCAAGCCAATATTATAGATATATTTATATTCCTCATCAATGAATTCCGGGCTGCAAATTCTCAAAGCACGTAAAAACATTGATGAAAATACTGACTGTTTGACTCTATTATGGTGGGCAGAATAATAATGAATGTATGAACACACATTAGTAGGTTTCCTATAAATATCGAACTTAAAGGTGTTACCTATTCTGTGTATCAGATAGTCTAGGAAAGGCAATTTACAGTCATGCTCTAATTCCACAGTGAATTTGATCGAGGGGGCTAAGTTGTTAAGTTGTGGCAGGAAAGCTTTTAGGTCCTCATTACATGGCCAGAGACATAATACATCATCAACATATCTAAACCAGACTGCTGAAGGTGGTGAAATATTACTTAATAGTTTCTTTTCAAAGAATTCCATATATAGGTTGCTTAATACAGGTGAGTGCATTAACCATTGCCATACCAAAATTTTGAGCATAATATTCTCCATTGATAAGAACCCCTATTCTCAATTTCCCTTTAATATACAAAAAGATTGACAGTTTTTAATTTCTAGCTGCGTCTGTTTTCCTGCATTATATAACCATAGTTTTATTCACTCGACGTGTAGTATTAATTAAAATATTCTTATTATTACGGCATATTTCAATTATTGGTTGCAACGTTTAAACACACAAACATGTCCAAAAATTTCAGAGTAATTTAAAATATTATCGTCGAGTGTTTAGCATGCGTTAATGTGTATAATCGGGAATTTAAATTTAAGAGAAAGGAAATATCATCCTTGTTCCTCTTGTGTATACAGGAAGACACCCAGGCAGTTTACAGTTCATATTTCTTCATAATATTCCCTAACTTCGAAGTCATTATTACAATTTGTGGTGTAATTATCTTCACTGGAATATTATTTTTATCTGATTTTGTCCAGTGAGAAATAATTTAATGAGATTTTGTTACGCATCAACAAACTTTCGAATTCGTCCTCACCAGGATTATCAACTTCCGGTCAAGTCACATCTGCTCATTCCAAGTCAGATCACAATTGTTAAATCCCTGTCGAATCCCAGTCATGTCACATCGAATTAACTGCCGGTCATGTCACATAGGTCAACTCACTGTCAGGTCACATAGGTCAACTCACGGTCAGGTCAGAATGATAAGCCCAAAGTTAGTGGGTCTTATGAATATTTAATTATTTTATCTATCTTATAATAACTTCCCTAAACGACTTAAGTTAATTAATAAATAATCACTAAGACACTTCCAATTACACACACCAAAAAATGCTTCTTCATAAATCTCTTCCGTTGTTTATTTTTTTTTATTTTTAATTAGACATTCATTTCAGTACGTTACTAAAATTGTTTGTAGATTTCTTACACAATACAGATAATTTAGCTCTGCTGAGTGTTATTATAGACCACGGATAACTTAGCCTTGTTTTGAGTTATTATAGACTACAGTTATCTTAGACCTATTGAGTGTTATTATAGACTACAGAACACTGGTAGCTTACTCTAGTTTGGTGTTATCACAGAGCTCCGGTAGCCTTGTCCTATTTTGTATTTCCGGGTTATAGAGTACTGATAGCTTAACTCTTTTTATATTATTACAGATAACCGGTAACTAAGCATTGTTCCGTGTTACTAAGTAAATATCAGAAGCCAAACTGTAATAAATAATATTAACACAAGTCACCGTAGATGTACAAGTTCTACAACATGAAGACAAAACAAATTCAGCCAGTTTAGCCGGGAACACGTGTGGTAGTCGCCAGACACTGGCCTCGCTTAGTATAGAAAACTGTTGTGGAATAACTAGGTCAGGGTGATACGTCGTGGCATACAGGAAATAATAACTCTAACTGGAATATACAATTAGATAACGTGTTTACAGGTATCATGTGAAGCTCTCGTCCCATATCTTTGCATGAGATGGTAAACCAACGCAGACATTAGTAAACAGGTAAACATAGTAATGGGCGCCAAAACGAACGTGAGTATACTGTATATATATATATATATATATATATATATATATATATATATATATATATATATATATATATATATATATATATATATATATATATATATATATATATATATATATATATTTTTTTTTTACTGGATTAGCCATTACAACCATTTTAATAAACGTAGACACACCCTTAAGTAAACCTTACTATATGTGTAGTTTACTAATCATAAATAAACGTTTATATATTCATAAATGTGTAACAAAACCCCTAAACACCTCGCACATCTCGGGCACTGAGAACCTCAAAGATTGAACTTTGAAGCTCAGATGATAAGAACAACACTTGAGGTATTGTACATACTGTACCTTGCCATATGTATCCTTCAACACCCAGATATGCGCATATCCACCAAACACTGGAAACAAGACATGTTCGGTGATAAAACAGGACACTTAAATATGTAAACATCCAGATATATGTACAGTATATATTTTACAACAAACAGATCCATTTCATCATTTAAACTTGGTCTAGAGCACAAACTTTTCAAACACTGGGAAACTTATATAAACTTCTATCTTATGGATCATACACGGATAATTTTATTGCTTGTGGACTACGCTACCAAAATATGAAATATGTGGATACTGGAATTAGTGTTTAATATAATGTATTTGGGAGCCTGTTAACGGTTACAGTAGAAGTTGAGCAATAAAGTCAAGAATTTAAACAAAATTAATTTAGTGTAGCAGTTAGAGTAAACTTTCTTCTCTCTGACGTAAAAAGAGTTTTCATAATTTTTTGGTCGTTCAATTAGTGTACTGTATTACTAACCTTGTTACGTGCTTAAAGACCTCCGTTGTTGAAGCGCACTAATAACACCATAATAATAAAACCTCTATGTACTTGAAAAACGTCAGAATGTGTTCTTTATGACTTAAATACAAAATATAAGAATCATGATAAAGTTTTCGACATTGCATTCATCGTCACACTTAACATTACTATTGTTATGGGATTAAAATAATTATAACCTAACCTCAATATTAACTCAAAGACAATCCTGAAACAGAAACTCAATACACGTGTCTGCATATACATTTTATTGGTGTTGGCCTCAATATTAATCCTAAGGTATAAATAACGTGTAATTGAAAACCACAAGCATAATTTGTGATGTTTTGTTGTCCCTGATCTTAATTCTCAACATGACTCACGAATATTCTGAAACTGATAAGTAAGATAAAGTTCTTGACATTGTGTGGTCCGTGTCGTCAATATTTAAGTCTCGGGTAATGATCGTCTGAACGTGAGAGCTAATACGCACCACTAGGAGAGAGACACGGAGGAGAGAGTTTTTTGGTTAGAGGGAAGGAAAGCGTCGGGACATTTGATGGTGGAAAGGAGACAGGGAGAGGATATTTTTTTGTTTAAGCAGGATGTAGGGAAAGATACCAGATGAAACATTGTTGGCAGGTCGCAGGGGAGAGATAGAGAGAGAGAGAGGGGGCGAAGGGACAATTTTGGCAGGAGAGACAGGTAGGGAGAGCAAACACACCAGGACAACAACATAAATAACCTCGTTGCTGCTGAAATGTTTATATCCTCCGATGATCATTATTTTCTTCATCTCAGAAAATATGAGACTAAGGTCACAGAAGACGGGATGTTTCCATGAACCAATTAGAAGAATGTAAATACCCGTAAGTGTCGCCAGGTTGTAAACATACTAGGGCCGCATTTACGACGATTCTCTGTTAATTCTTCTCAAACAGATGTTAACTGAACTTTTTTATTGCG